AGTTTGCTGGTTTACTTTCTCTTAAATATCAAATAATATTAATTCTTTGCTCCCATAAGTGCTATGAAAAATTTTGAAAACAGAAAACAAAGCGCTTTAAAAAAACAACATCTTATATGAACTTTCTCCATGATATTAACAGTAGTACCGCAGCGACATCTAGGGCGAAACATCTAGATTTTGATAGATAAATGTATGGTAATTAATATGTAGTACTTTTATGTTTATAAATTTGATGAAACACAAACCTTTAACATTTAAGGACAAATTTTAACCAAATTTTCCAATTGCATTTGATCTTTAATGAATCCTAAGAAAAGATTGCCAGAATCTGCTCAACGGTTATTACGTTATACATTTTTTGGTTCTAGGATGAAGCCAAGACAAAAACATTCAAAAATTCTGAAAGGACAGTTATCAGTGATCAGTTATCAGTTATCGGCCATCCAACTGTGGCCCAAGAGATTCAGCTGAAAGCCCTGGTGCACCTTTTATTTGAACCTGTAGAGATTTGAACAGCTGATCTGAAGCAAACAGGCAGGTGTTCAACTAAAATGACCCCTCCTGCTGTGTTTGATGGTCTCCTCCTTCACCATCCATCCATCCATCCATCCATCCATCCTTCCATCATCCATCCATCCATTATCTTCTGCTTCTGGGTCGCGGGGGCAGCAGCTTTACCAGGGAGGCACAGACATCAACAGCCACCTCTTCAGCCCTTCTAGGAGGAGCCTAAGGCATTCGCAGACCAACTGACTATTTAATAAGTAATACTTTTATGTTTTTAAATTTAATGAAACACAAATCTTTAACATTTAAGGACAAATTTTTACCAAACTGTTTTCAAGTCTGTAGCTTATTAAAAGCTGCTTAAAAGCAGTTTCAAAGATTACAGCACAGTGTGATGTTTTGCAATTTTAACAAGAGCCTTGTGCATATCTGTAAATAATAAAAGTGAAGATGTTTTTAAATAAATCTTTATTGTAAAAATCTATACTAAAATGGAAAATACATGGGTTTAAAGCAGCAGGGAAGGCAATAAGGTAGGATTATAAATTAGGTTTAAAAGTTACAGCTCATGAGGTACTCCATTAGAGCATCTCTGACATCTCTTCCACAACATCCTGTAGCAAAACCTTTAGGGTGTTCTTCTTCTAATTAGGGATGCACGATATTATCGCCATGGTATTGGCCAATACTAGCGTTAAATTTCAATATCAGACATCGGCCATTCCATTAAAATAACTCACCGATATAAATGTCGCTGTTTTTGCTTGCAGTGGCAGCGCAACATGATGACGTCACACGTGCCTAGCAGATCTCACAGCATAGTCTGAAAAATTCTAAATGTCGGCGGTGTGGAAGTTTTATTTTTCATTGGTGAGGATGGCGGATTCCGAAGATTTATGAACTACGTTAAGCCTCTCTCTACATCGTCCAAAGTCAGAGATATTTTTCAGACGTAACTTTACCCGAGTTGCAAGCCATCATTTCCGACGTCATTGAGAAGCTAATAGCCGATAGCACAACTTGTTGGGTGAGTTTTACCACAGACATTTGGACATCGTGTTAGCCCCGTTAGCATGATTAGCCTTACGGTACAATGGATACACAAAAACTAAAGGAAAAAAGGAACATATATAAAATATCGGTATCTGCATCGGTTATCAGACAAATAAGTTTTAACATATCGGCATATCGGCTATCGGCCAAAAATCCAATATTGTGCATTCCTACTTCTAATGTTTAGTGGTGGCTAGTAAATAGCTTAAAGGAGCACTAACGCCACCAGGTGGTAAGACGAGTTGGATTTTGGACCCCACCTACGTAACTGGTCCAGAAGTGTAAATGGAAATGCGACAACACACGAGCTGATCTGAGCTGACCTGAGCCTGATCTGCGCTGTAACCGTGGAAAAGGGGCATTTGTCGGCTATGTCAGCCAGCTCCAGGTCCAGACCAGGCTGACTTACACCTGCAGATACAGTCACGTTGAACAGGGATGAATCGATGCTCAGGGGAATGACGGGGAATGACAATGTGGTTTCTTCCTCTCTGAACACATTAAATCATTTCCCAAACGATTCTTGCATTGTGGTGGCTGCAGACTGCAAATACTCTGCATTACCTGCATCTGCATCTCACCTCGTGAGCTTGTTTGAACTCCCTTAAAGATGGGAAGTGAGACAGTGTGCCTCTCTGTAAATCTCTGGCTTAAACTGTCAGTTTGCGCTCAAACACTGACACCTCCTCCATCATGTATAGCACTGTGCCTCCTCTCCTCTGAAGAGTTGTACTCAGCGTGTTCAGGTTCACTGTCATATACACCATGAAGTGCAGCCCTTCGCTGCTCATGAAAGTTTTCACCTCTTCCAGACATGCAGCAAAGTGTTTCAGCTCCTCTCCCCTCTGACAGCCAGCGGACTCTGTTATGCAGTAGGAGGTCAAAGGATGTGCTCTCTGCCTCATCCAGTAACAAACAGAACTGACAGTGATTTGGACCGATTGGACCTTACTGCTGCTTTTGATACTATTGACCACAGTATCCTTATATCCCGGCTGGAACAGTGGGTTGGGATCACAGGTGCTGCATTAGAATGGTTCTGCTCATACCTGAGTGGTAGGAGTTTCTGTGTCAAGGTTGGTAATAATGTATCCGCCTCATTACCTCTTTCTTGCGGGGTCCCACAGGGTTCAATTCTTGGACCCCTTCTGTTCTCACTTTATTTGCTCCCACTGGGGTCCATCCTGAGGAAACATGGGCTTTCATTCCATTGCTATGCTGATGACTGCCAGATCTACCTGCCTGTGAAACCAGCAAGTGTTTGCTCCATTCACCGGCTGTTAAAATGTCTGGATGACATTAAGGCCTGGATGGCTTCAAATTTCTCAAGTTTTAACAATGACAAGACCAAAGTCATTGTTTTTAGCCCTAGCTCAACTGCCACCACTGATCCTGTCAACCTGGACTCTCTTCAGCCATATCTGAAGCAGTCTGATAAAAAATCTCGGGATGGTTTTAGACTTTGATTTCAAGTTTGACAAACAAATTAACTCTGTTCTGCAGAAAAGCTTCTTCCAACTCAGACAGGTAGCTAAGCTCAAGCCAGTGTTGTCCAGACCTGACCTTGAGAAACTAGTCCACGCCTTTGTCACGACCCGATTGGACAATTGCAATGCACTGTATGCTGGGATCAGCCAGGCCTCCATCTCACGTCTTCAGCTCGTCCAGAATGCTGCTGCTCGGCTTTTAACCGGAACTCGTAGGTCTGAACATATTACACCAGTTCTGTCCTCCCTTCACTGGCTCCCTGTTCGTACAAGGATAGTTTTTAAAATTCTTTTGTTGACCTTCAAATGCCTAAATGGCCTCGTACCCCTTTACCTCTCTGAGCTTCTGGAACCTTACATTCCCTCTCGGGCCCTGAGATCATCCGATCAGCTGCTTTTGGCTGTTCCAAAAACAAGACTGAAGCTCAGAAGAGATCGGGCTTTTTCAGTCATGGGCCCCAAACTCTGGAACAACTTGCCCCCCAACATCAGGCAGGCCACCTCCCTTCCTCACTTCAAATCCCTGCTAAAAACACATCAGTTCTCTCAGGCATTTCATACAGTGTAAATTGATCTAGTTTTTTTTTTATCTGTGACCCTATGTTTTAAATCCATCCATCCATCCATTATCTTTACCCGCTTATTCCATTTTGGGTCACGGGGGTCGCTGGTGCCCATGTCCAGCAATCACTGTGTGAAGGGCGGGGTACACCCTGGACGAGTCACCAGTCCATCACAGGGCCACATAGAGACAAACGAGACAAACAACCATTCACTCTCTCACTCACACCTAGGGACAATTTAGAGTTACCAATCAGCCTAACATGCATGTTTTTGGTCTGTGGGAGGAAACCGGAGTACCCGGAAAAAACCCACGCATGCACGGAGAGAACATGCAAACTCCACCCAGAAGGCCCCTGGACCGGGGTTTGAACCAAGGACCTGCTTGCTGAGAGGCAGCAGCTCTACCAGTTGCGCCACCGTGCTGCCCCTATGTTTTAAATGCTTTTTATTAATTTTTCAGTTAATATCATTATTAGCGTATTGTATATATGTGTTTATATATTTTTCTCTTTAATTTATTAATTGATTGATTGTTGTTGTTGTTGTTGTTGTTGTTGTTGTTGTTGTTGTTAAGCACTTTGATAACAGGTTCTGTTTTAAATGTGCTCTATAAATAAAGTTGACTTGACTTGATTTAAACCTTTTGCCATTATTTTATTGATAGTCTGAATGACAACATTCATGACCTCTGTGCATTCTGGAGGAAAAGTTTGTGTGCACAGTGCCTCTTGGTGCAGAATGCAGTGAAACGTCAGCAGTTTTCTATCCGGTGCCAGTTTCTGTGAGTGTGATGCTTATTTTGAGCAACGAAAAATAATAAAATATAATTTCATTTATTTTTTTCAAGATCACAATAATCTTCCAATTTAGAACTACAATTTAGAAAAACTAACACAAATAATATACACTTCAATTAAATACTTGTAATTTATTTTCCCAAGCCATGCAGAGCTGCAGTATAATAATGAAAGAGCCGCAGGTTGCCGACCCCTGCTCTAGAGTGATGAGCAAGAACCAAGTTAAGGAGCTGAAATTGTTCATGTTTATGCTTATCAATGTTATTTTGTAACGTTAAGAATACATAATCCTTATATTTCATATTTTATTCAACTAAATTTACTGTAGAATTAGTGAAAAAACCATTTGGAAATTTAAAACCAAACTCTAAACAAACAGGTTGCAGTTGACTAAAATATCACTGAAACTTAAACACACTTTATTCAAAAGACAAACTATTTAAGTTTGCTGTCAAATTTAATGCTGCAAAGTTGCAGCTGGTTCAGAGAAACACTAAAGACAGTAAAACCTTTCACCCAGCACAGGTAAAGATGTAAACACACAGGTCCAAACGTCCCAAACAGTTCAGGGATGTGGGGGTGTACTCACTGCAAACTTCAGGGCATCAGACGCCTCGGGCCCATCAAAATGGAACTGTTTAAAGTCTGGGAAGTCCCCCATGGCCTCACTGCTTCTGGGAGCAAACCTCCTGTACTGCCGGCTCTGGGTGTCTGGGTCCGTGTATAGGGCGTAGTCGCTCATGCTGTTGCACACCTGATCCAGGAGCTCACTGAGGTGTGTCTCCGAGCGAGCAAATGGAACCTGGACACAGAGATCCAACCTTCAGAAAGGTTCCTTTCCCCAAAATAAGATCAGTCCCTAAAACGCTGTTTGGTTCTGGCTCAGGTGTTTCGCTCTGCTCCCAGTGGTTCTAGCAGTATCACAAACAGAACCCAAAACTAAATAGAAGGTAGAGATAGATCCAAAAATTGGTTGACCAATTTTTAACAAGCAGATATTGGCCAATTAAAAAAAAAATTTAAATGTAACAACAATTGGTCGTACCTGAACTAATTTAGTCAATTACTAAGTAGAACAAGCGGTACGCCAATGTACCCCATCGTGAGGGATTTGAATAGTGAATGTTTGTAGTTTTTGAAATTAGTTTTTTTTTTTGACTGAAACTGAACAAGCTAGCAAGACTTTTTTTGGGGGCTGCAACATATTCAAGTGGGTAGGAGTTACACTGTAGAGAATAACCGAGGGAGATTTTTTTTTCTATTGTCTGAAACAAGTGACAGATCCTGGAGAGTGCAGGGAGAAATTTATCTACCACTGGGAGTAATGATGGAACCCGGCCACCACTGGCCACCCCCGGTGGCACAGTCAAGTCAAGTCACAGTCAAGGAAACACACAACACAAAACTGATTCTTCCCCCAAATAGCTTACTCCAAAGTGGAACAAACCAGTTATGTTGGTGCTAAGTTGGTGTCTTTGGTATGCTCCCTCCTCTGCTGCCGGTCCACTTCCTTGTCGACAGTCATGTCAAACTGGTTCAAAACCAAAAAAGTCCATGCTCAATAATCCAGGTATACAATCCAACAATTTTCAGTCAGGTCATCTGGACAGTTTCTTTTTTTTTGCTGAAACGTTTCACCTTCCATCAAGAAGGCTTCATCAGTCAAGGAAACATACAACACAAAACTGATTCTTCCCCCAAACAGCTTACTCCAAAGTGGAACAAACCAGTTATATTGGTGCTAAAATGGTATCTTTGGCACGCCCCCTCCTCTCGTGTCGGCCCTCTTCCTTGTCGACAGTCATTTCAAACAGGTTCAAATCCCAAAAAAAAGTCCATGCCCAATAATCCAGGTATACAATCCAACAATTTCCAAAAGTTCAATTCCAAAACGTTTGAAGACTGTCAACAAGGAAGAGGGCTGGCTTCAGAGGAGGGGGCGTGCCAAAGACACTATCTTAGTACCAACATAACTGGTTTGTTCCACTTTGAAGTAAGCTGTTTGAGGGAAGAATCCGTTTTGTGTTGTGTGTTTCCTTGACTGATGAAGCCTTCCGGATGGAAGGTGAAATGTTTCAGCAAAAAAAGAAACTGTCCAGATGACCTGACTGAAAATTGTTGGATATATCCCCTTTGATTTCCTTAATTGCTTTCAGCGTGTCAGTAGATTGTTTGTTCGTGCCTTCTTTCAGAAAGCTGATTGCTTTGAGAATATCACGGTTGGTCGGGGCCTCCTGCGTTTCATCTGAGCTACCCGTCACTGCTATGTTAGCATTAGCTACATTAGCCTTAGCTTCATTAGCTGCACTTATTCTTTCTTCTTCTTCTTCATTCAGCTTTTCCCCCTTCAGGGGTCGCCACAGCGAGTCATCCTCCTCCACCTCACTCTGTCCTCTGTATCCTCTGTCCTCACTCCAACTATATTCATGTTATCTCTAACTGCATCAATATCTCCTCTTTGGCCTTCCTCTTTGTCTTTTTCCTGGCAGCTGCATTTCTAACATCCTTCTACTAGGGCTGGGTACCTTTCTAAAAAAAATCGGTATCGGTACCGGTGTCAGTACCTTCACTTCGGTGTTGGTTCCTGGACGGTTCTTTTTTCTGTACCAATTTTGTAATTACTATTAATTCTAACAAGAATAAAATTATGTTACACATTACAGTACAAATTGTGAGTTTTATTTTTTAACTTTGGTATTTTTCTATTCCAAGCAGTTTTCTTACATAAAAACAAACAAATAATTTCCAGGTCAAAAGACCAGTTGCAAACCAGTGACACGTCAGTGTCTAATGTTCACTGCTACACACTGAGGACCTTTTCACTGAACAGTTTTTCTTCAGAAAGATCAACATGTCTTTTTTCTCTGGACACAAACAAGATGCTCCTGGCTGATGGTGTCTCCAGCAGTAGAAAATGTTCACTCCGACGCTGTAGATGATGATTGTTGCACACACAGATACCTGGTTGTCAGTTTGACATATTGTCCCTCACATCCCACCAGCAGGTCACTAGATTCAATGAGGTAGGGTTGATGCAGACATCTGCACCTCTGTGAGGAGAACATTAACATAAACAGTGAACATTAGTAAACTGTTTAAGCAGCTGACTGGAAGGATGAGCAGTTTTACAAGCTAAGATTTATGTTACTGTCAATCTTTAGTTAGCTTCTGAGTTTAGCTAGCTACGTAGATAAAATAAATTTACACACTAATATGTTAAAGTTAGCGTTACATGGATCATATTTATGCCCTGTGATGGACTTGCGACCCGTCCAGGGTGTACCCCGCCCCTCGCACAGTGATTGCTGGACATGGGCACCAGCGACCCCCGTGACCCAAAATGTAATAAACGGGTAAAGATAATGGATGGATCATATTTATTTCACTGCGATGTACGTGTTAAGCTGCAGTTACGCTAACAAACGTAAACTCACCAGCTGAAGCATAGACACAGAGACGTCCTCGAGTTCTTTGATGAAGAGTCCGGTCATGGAGATAATGAATCAGGACGTTCAGGCTCTACTCACAGGCTGACTTTAATGGTGAGAGGAGAAGGAGGAGGGGGGAGGCTAATGAACTCTTCTCTCCTCGCAGAAAAACATGGAACAACTTTCTGCAGCGTGTGTTGTCGAAGCCGTTCGACAACACACGCTGCACACGTGAACCCGTCTGTGGGCGTCACCAGCACCATAGACATAATTATACATAGATTACGTACGGCAGCTCTATACAGCTCTGGATGTAATCTGGGTGAAGTCTGTTTGTTATATGTCTGGTGTTTTGCCTGTCTGCATGCTGAAACCACGTGACATGTTACAGCCAATACCGAAACTTGACACCGAAAGAAGAGTGACGTTTCAATACATACACCGACTGGTGAAGTTCGGTCGGTGCCATAAAAGAACCTCGGTTCGGTACTCAGCCCTCCCTTCTACCAATATACCCACGGTCCCTCCTCTTGACATGTCCAATCCATCTCAGTCTGGCCTCCCTAACTATATCTCCCAGTTGTTCAACCTGTGCTGTACCTCTGATTATCTCATTCCTAATCTTATCCAGCCTTGCCACTCCTAAGGAAAACCTTAGCATCTTCATTTCTGCCACCTCCAGTTCTTTCTCCTGTCTTTTTGTCAATGCCACTGTCTCCAGACCATACAATATAGCTGGTCTCACCACTGTCTTGTAAACTTTTCCTTTGACATTTGTTGACACCCTTTTGTCACAAATCACTCCTGAAACTTTTCTCCATCCACTCCATCCTGTCTGGACTCTCTTTTTCACTTCTTTACCACATTCCCCATTTCCCTGGACAGTGGACCCCAAGTACTTGAAGTCCTGCACCTTTGTGACCTCTGCTCCTTGTAGCCTCACTGCTCCACCAGCCTCCCTCTCATTTACACACATGTACTCTGTCTTACAACGGCTGACTTTCATTCCTCTTCTTTCAAGTGCATACCTCCACGTCTCCAAGTTCTCTTCTACCTGTTCCCTGTTCTCACCACAGATCACAATGTCATCTGCAAACATCATCGTCCATGGGGATTCTTTCCTGACCTCATCTGTTAGTCGGTCCATCACCAGAGCAAACAAGAAGGGGCTCAAAGCCGATCCTCGATGCAATCCCACCTCCACCTTGAAGCTATCCGTCACTCCTACAGCACATCTCACCACTGTCCTGCTGTCCTTATACATGTCCTGTACCAGTCTAACATACTTTTCTGCCACTGCAGATTTCCTCATGCAATACCACACCTCCTCCCTCGGCACTCTGTCATATGCTTTTTCTAAATCCACAAAGTCACAATGGAGTTCTTTCTGACCCTCTCTGTACTTCTCCATCAGCATTCTCAAAGAAAAGATGACATCTGTGGTGCTCTTTTTTGGCATGAAACCATACTGCTGCTCACAGATAGTCACCTCTCATCTAAGTCTTGCTTCCGCAACCCTTTCCCAGATCTTCATCGTGTGCTCATCAACTTAATTCCCCTGTAGTTGCTACAACTCTGTACATCACCCTTGTTCTTAAAAATGGGCACCAACACACTTCTTCTCCCTTCCTGAAGCATTTTCTCACCCTCAAATATGCCATTGAATATTTTAGTCAAAAACCTCACTGCCATCTCTCCAAGACATTTCCAAACCTCCACTGGTATGTCATCAGGTCCTACTGCCTTTCCCTTCTTCATTCTTTTCAGAGCTTTCTGGACTTCACCCTCACTAATCTTTCCCACTTCCTGGTCCACAGTTTCTATGACCTCTACTCTTCTTTCTCTTTCATTCTCTTCATTCATTAGCTCCTCAAAGTACTCCTTCCATCTTCCCGTCAGACTCTCCTCACTTGTTAGAACATTACTATTCCTATCTTTAATAAGCCTAACCTGCTGCACATCCTTTCCAGCCTGATCCCTCTGTCTTGCCAATCGGTACAAGCCCTTCTCGCCCTCTTTAGTGTTCAGTCTCCGATACAACTCATCATACGCCCTCTGCTTTGCCTTAGTTACTTCCCTCTTTGCTCAACGTCCCATCTCCTTATATTCCTGTCTCCTCTCTTCAGTCCTCTCACTGTCATATTTCTTCTCGGCTAATCTCTTTCTTTGAATGGCATCCTGCACTTCATTATTCCAACACCAGGTTTCCTTATCATCCATTCTCTGTCCAGATGACACACCAAGTACCTTCCTACCTGTCTCTCTAATTAATGCTGCTGTAGTAGCCCAGTCATTTGGAAGCTCTTTCTTACTACCCAGAGCCTTTAACAGCTCCTCTCTGAATTTCTCACAACGTTCTTCCTTCTTCATCTTC